CCCCAGCAGTCAGTGGCTGGCTCAGGCCTCGGGGCGGGAGAGTGGACATCCCTGCTGGGGTTTTCAGCCAGTCTGCTGTGACCGTCGACATTCCCCGTGCTCGCTCAGGTGCCCAATGAAGCCAAGGGCTCATAACCCCCAGCACTGCCTGCTGCGAGGCGTCTATGCACCAAGAACTGTCTCCACTTTAAGCCATTACCTTTCTTAATTAACAAACCATCTTCTTGTCCTCCTTCCAGCGACTAGCCCTAGTCCCCTTCTCTAACCCATTCATCACTGCAGTGCCTGTCATGCCCTCTCTGCTTTCTCCAGCCCTTGCAATGCTCATAGGACTGCCTTCCCACCTCCACTTAAGAACATAAGCACATTAGAACTGCCCCAGGCTGGGGCAGACCCAGGTCCGTCCTGCCTGGTCCCCTGTGTCCCACGGGGGCAGAGAGCAGAGCTGCAGGGAGAGTGACTGGGTTGGAGCAGGGTTTTCCCCTGTTCCTCCCTCCCTGCAGCCTCCAGCACTGAGGTCCAGGCAGGGCTGATGCCGAGGCCGTGCCCCTCGCTCCCTGCCCCAGAGCCATGGATCCCCTTTTCCTCCATGCACGTGTCCAAGCCCTGGCTGAGCTCTCGGCTCCCACTACCTCTGGGGGCCACAACTCCCCCTTTAATGCCTCGCAGGGGGAAAAGGACTTCATAGAACCACAGACAACGAGGGCTGGAAGGGAGCTCAGGAGATCACATCTAGCCCAACCCCTGCTCAAAGCAGGACCAGCCCCAGCTGGGGGAACGCCTGTTCCTCAGAGCGCCCCAAGGTCAAATGGTCACAAACTCCTCCAAGACCATTTCAGGCTTAACACAAGGAAGAACTTCTTTATTGTCCGAGCCCCCAAGGTCTGGAACAGACTGCCGCCGGAGGTGGTGCAAGCACCTACTCTGGACTCCTTTAAGAGTCAATTGGATGTTTATCTTGCTGGGATCCTTTGACCCCAGCTGACTTTCTGCCCTTGGGGCAGGGGCCTGGACTCGGTGATCTTTCAAGATCCTTCCAGCCCTAATGTCTATGAAATCTATGAAATCCTAGCCAAGACTTTGTCCAGCCAGGTCTTAAACACCTCCAAGGATGGAGATCCCACCACCTCCATGGGTAACCCATTCCAGTGCTTCTCCACCCTCCTAGCGAGAACATTTTCGTAATATCTAACCTCAACTTCCCTTGCTGCAACTTGCTCTGTTGACCAGACCCAACTACATCATCCCAGCCAGGGTTTTGTTGAGCCAGGCCTTAAAAGCATCCAAGGATGGAGATCCCACCACCTCCATGGGTAACCCATTCCAGTGCTTCTCCACCCTCCTAGCGAGAACATTTTCGTAATATCTAACCTCAACTTCCCTTGCTGCAACTGCCACCTTGGCAAACTGCTGGTTGCTGTCACCTGCCACCACTGAGAATAGTCCAGCTCCTCCTTCTCTCCACCTTGTCCACATCGTTTCCGTAGTGGGGTACAAGACTCCAGATGTGGCCTCCCCAGTGCTGAATAGAGGGGAAGAATCGCTGCCCTCCATCTGCTGGCAACGCTCCTACCAGTGCAGCCCGGGATGCCGGTAGCCTTCTGGGCACCAAGGGCACGCTGCTGGCTCCTAGTCATCTTACTGTCCCCTGTCACCCCCAGGGCCTTTTCTGATGCTGCCCAGCCAGTCGGTCCCCAGAACTTCCTTCTCTTGTGTCTCTCTGCACCCCTCAGTCGCTGCTCTGTCTACCTGGAGGCAACGGCCAGAGCTAAACACAGGATCCCCACAGAGATGGCTGGTTGTTAAGCCAGTTTCATCACGTCCCTGGCAGAGATCTCTGCCCCTTCCACGCAGACCTGAATACACCGTTAGGACAGCTCACACGGCAGAGGTTTCTACTGCCCTGGTTTCTCTCTGGAGCAGTTCAAGTCACTGGCAGAAGGGCATAAGAACTGCCGTGGACTGGGTCAGACCTAGGTCCATCTTGCCCGGTCTCCTGTGTCCCATGGGGGCAGAAAGCGGAGGCTGAAGGGAGAGTGACTGGGGCTGAGCAGGGCTTTCCCCTGCTCCTCTCCCCTTGCAGGCTCCAGCATTGAGGGTCCAGGCAGGTCTGCCCCTCACTCGATGCCTCTTTCCTCCAGAACATATCCGATCCCTTTTTGAATCTGGGGTTGAGGTCAGCCCGACGCTGTGCTCCTAGGGGGTGGTTGGAAAGCTTCCCCTGAGAAGGTGTAGCCTGTGCTGCCTTTGACAAATGATAAAATTGCAGAGAAGCAGGGCTGGAAGGGACCTCCAGAGGTCAGCTAGTCCAGCCCCTGCCTGAGAGGGGGCCAAGGCCAAGCGGTCCTCTAAGTAGAGCCCAAAGAGCCCGAGCCCTGACCAGCGAAGTCATGGGTGGAAGATGGCACCAGCCAGTCTGGTCCTGAGGCTCAGAGCAGAGGGGAATGCAGAGAATGCCCCTGAGCCAGGAAACTCCGCTGCTCTCTGGTCATCAGCTCCCCAGAGCCAGACCTTAGCCCTGGGCAGTGCCTGCTCCTATGTGGATCATTGCTCAATTAGCTCCCTCTTTGTTGCCTGAAGGACATGGAGAGAGTGATTTCCTTAGCTGGTAACTGCAGCAAGGGGGAATGATTTGTGGTGGGTAAATGAGTCATCAGGGCCTGGACTGGAGAGCAGTTAGGAGGTTTACTGACCATTGGCTCCGTTATTCATTGCCAAGCTGCTCTCAATGGGCAGTCATCAACCAAGCTGTTAGTCCTGCTCCCTGAGTCTGAAATGAGGGCAGAGCAGCTCCTTATCAGATCAGGGAACCTGCCCCAAGGAGCTGGGAAAGGAGGGGTCTGGGATGAAGACACAAGACCCAGCATCCGGACTCCGGGGTCCTACTCCTAGGGCGACAGCTAATACGCAGAGGACAAGCCACAGCTCCTCGGTCCCCAAGTTTCCCCAGTGATGAAATAGGAAGGGAATTAATTGCCAAGCCCAGATGAGGGGCTTGGTGCCATAAGAGAAGTTGAATACCAGTGGGACCCTCACACTGCTAGCACACGCAGGGCAGGCATGAAGCTTAAAGTGCTCTGAGAAGCCCTGGAGGAGAGGTCACCTCAAGGGAAGGAAACCCCCTTATTTTATATATGCACACATCTGTGGCTGCTCCCCCCTGCCCCCACAGAGCTTCCTGCAGGACTGCGGGGCCCTCTCCGCCCAGCTCCCCAGCACAAGACCAGGGAAACATTGGCCCAGTCACCTTCCCGTGGTGCACCCAGGCTTCTGGGCCCCCCGAAACAGTCACCAGCTGACACGAAAGATGCTGTGGCACAGAGATGAGAGGGCATAAGCTGGCCATGAATACGTCTGAGAAGGTTTGGAAGAGATGGAGAAGAGAGGTGGACTCTCCAGGTCAGGGACAAGAGAGATGGCAAAGGGCCAGAATTTGGAAGCGTATGAGGGAGAGGGAGAGAGAGAAGAGGACTAAAAGCAGACTCTTGAATACTGCTGCTATGGGCTGGCTGGGCCCTGCCCTGCCGGTACCTGTATGGGCGCCGCAGGTCCAGACGCAGGGAGAGAAAGTAAGAAAGGAGGTCT